TATCAAGTTCCATTGAAGTGCTGAGGATGATTTGGTGGTAGAACACTTTCCTAGTATGCATAAGTCCCTGGGTTTGATCCCCACATATATGCATGCATACATGTGCACCACACATAAACACACACACATTTTCCATTATTTATGATTTGTTCAGGGTTGGATTACTATGATATAAATACATATACACATCTAGCAGGCCAGCAGGAGAATCTTTACTTACTTAAACGCACATTTCTTGACTGTAGAAATGAAACATGGATAGCTTTAAAGAACTTTTCTCTTGCTGTGTAAGTTTTTCTGTGCAATAAGGTAAGTTAAAATGGAATATTTCATTATAAGCAGGGAGGCCAAAGAGATTCATTAGAGAACCAGCCCAAAATTCCAGGGGTTCCATCTAGCTGAAGGAAGATAGAGAAATGAAGAACCACCATGTGCATTCCTCTTGCTTCGCTGATATGAATGTTTCCTCCCCTGTTATCATATATCCTATTACCATGACTCACGGATTAAGAGCCAAGCAGGCAGGTAGATCTTCAGTGAAAGCAGAAATGGAAGCACATTAAGGATGGGCCTCGGTAACTACAGATTCATGATGTATCATGATGTGGTAAAATGAATATGGACTTTGAAAGTAAGAAGTCTGAGTCCTCATTTAGCAAGCGCTATTCTTTGCTGTAGAAGTAAACTTCTTCATTGAATAAATGTATAGTTGCTGGTGCTAGTAGCTCCTGTCTATAATTGTAGTTATTCAGGAGGCCTAGATCTAAGTAAGGATCACAGTTCAAAGCCAACCCGGGAAGGATCATTCATGAACCTCGCAGCTCCAATTAATTCCCTGCCTCCCCCAGAGCAGGAAGTGGAGCCGTGGCTCAGGTGGTAAAGCATCAGTCTTAAGCAGGGAAAGCCAAGCAAGAGTGTGAGGAGCTGTGTTCAAGTGTCAGTACTAGCACACAAAAAATTGTAGAGTGATTACCCAGTAAACACAGCCCCTAGAGTTACAACAGCCAAGTAAGTGAGACATAAAGGTGCTAATGATGAAATTTCACTTTACTCCATTACCTTCTCCAAGGCTGTTTTCCTCCTTTATAAAGATGGAGCTAATAATAATAGTTCATGAGGAGATCAAGAGCTATGAAGAATGAATGATTTAATTTGTGCAAAGAAAATGCAAAGGCCAATACAGTCGGCTATCTTTCCCCCAGGCTAGCAAATTCCAAAAGGTATTCTGAAGGTGGCAATGAGATGATGAGAAGGAGTTGTTGGGGAAACAGGCACATCCTTCAGAGTGAATGGCACGTTCAAAGGAGCATACATAGGAGGTAAGAGAACAAACGTATGGAACTTGAATTCAGCATGCCTGAAGCCTAAGCCAAGGAAGGAGCAGTCCAAGAAAAGGTAGTGAGCCAAGGCTAATGTCCAGCATTTCTCCATTTTAGCACCATGAGTATTGGGGGCCAGATAATGCTTGGTGAGGGAGGATCTACCCTGTGCCTTGTGGGATGTTCAGCATCATAGCCACTAGATGGCAATGGCACACTCCTAAGGTGACAGTCAAAAATGCTCATAGATGCTGTCCCTCTGCGGAATGAGGAGTGCTGAGCTGTGGGGCTATTGTAGGGCCAGGAAGGCTACAAAAGGGCCAAAAGAGAAGCAGAAATGACTGCCTGGCATGCACTTTTAAAGTACACCATATCCCTAAGCTACTCAGGGGAGTTGCTGTGAGCTGACTGCAGAAAGTCCACTGGAGCGATGATGAAAGTTTGGACTGCCTGAGATGTTGCAAGGACAGAGGAAGAACAATAGAATTGAGAGGCGCTGGGAAGAATGTAAGAGCATCCAGCACATTTATGAACATGTTCACTCTCCTGTTTTCTCAAGTTCTCCCTCAGGTCTTGAACTGGGCTCTTCAATGTCATACAACGCCTGATGTCAATGGATCTTTTCTTGTTCAGATTCTGTAACCTTTGCTTATTACTATATTAGAAGGGAATTCTTAATTCCACCTTTTATTAAGATTGACCTTGGAACTGCGATTTGAGGAAAATTTGTTGCACTCTTTTCCAAGTGAGAACCAGGCTACACATACCCCTTTTGACACACTCTCTCTCTCTCTCTCTCCCCCCCCCCCCTTTCTCTCTCTGTATGTGTGTGTTGTTTTCTTCTGGATGCAAAATTTCTAGCAGCTTGTCAAATTAGCTCCTAATACCCCAATCGATCTCCATTTTATAAGAAATACTCAGGAAGAAATTTCAAGTTCAAAGGAAGAAATATAGGTAAGTCTGCTACACACAAAGCATCTGCTGATGTCAACAGAATGGTCTTCTGGTTATCTTGGAGAAAATCAACAATAGTCAGAATATATTCATTACCCTATTTAGTGGGTTTCAGCATGGTCTCATTATGCCCATCCTTACACTGTACAAGGCCTTTTCCATTAGCGAAAGAAGGAACAAAAGGTCATAGCTTTCCTGCAAGTTCTATCCACTAATTAGAGAAACCCTTTACTAGAGGACATAATTGGACCATTACCGAGTCCCTCTACAAAATGAAAAATATCCAGTGTCATTGTTGTTGGTTTTCCTGGGAGTGAGAACAGAGTATCGATAGATGTTGAAACAGTAGCAAGGTATTACTAATGCCTTTTCTAAATACGAATTCCCATCCCTGCAGATTCAATTACTATTCTTCATATTAAAAAGAACCTTCCTCTTTTGCACAACTACTTAAAAGATACTTAAAAAATAATGAGCTACCCAATAGAATGAAATAAAAAGAAATTTCCTGTTCAGGTAGTTATCTAAAATAGCTTCTGCCCCAAAGTCATCCTAATATATATCTAAAAGTTGCTGTGGTTTGAATCTGGCTGGTCCCTTCTGAAATCCATGCTGAAATTGAACCTCTGTTGTGAACTATAAAGATGGCAGAAAGTGGTATGCTTGTGATGGGTGGGGGGGAGGGTCTTTAGGTAACTAGGATTAGATGCAAACAGGGGAGCACTCAATATTGAATACTAGAGGCTTTATAAAAAAGGGAGGTAGGGCTGAGAGTGCAGCTCAGAGGCAAAGCACTTACTTAGCATGCACACAGTTTTGGGTTCAATCTCCAGGATCAAAAATAAATTAAGTTAAATTAATTTTTTTTAAAAATCAGAAGAGAATCAGATTCCCACATATGTGAGTCCTTGCACCAGTTCAGAACTCTACCAGCAAACAGGCCATTACTGCAATCCTTTACATCGGAGATGAGAACCATAGTTGAACTAAACCTCTTTTCTTTAGATTTACTCAGTGTGCTGTATTGTGTAATTAACAACCCAAAAGGCACTAAACTACTATGAGACCATAGTCAAAGGCAGCTGGAGATAATATTGGTGCTGAGATGAAAACCCTTTCCTTCAGCAAAGACATTGAGGTTTCTTAATGCTAAAGTGGGACAATTAAAAAACCATAAAAAACATTATCTGTATTAATAGGTAGCAACAAAATCAGTAGTCAAGAGCACCCAAGAGCTATAGGTGTGGGTTTGCATTAAGATGTTTAACTTAGGTCTCAAGTCTCTTTATAAAGACAGGCGTGTGTGCTAGACAAATGCTCTACCACTGAGTCTTAACCCATCTAGAGACGCCTTCTTTTATGATCTGCTTATGATTTGTTAGCAATGATTACATTTTTTAAAGATCCCTATTGGAATTTGATCTTTATTCCAACTAATTTGGGTATAAATAGTGTGGACCTACTATTTTTGCCAATGAGTGAAAGCAAGCATCAGATAGTGAGTTTGAATCCCAGTCTTGAACAACAACAACAACAAAAGAATCCAAAATTTTACATGGAACAGCAGGGGCAGATTCTAGTACCTGAGGGTAGAGGCCAAAGTCAAAGGAAGTAGGCATAGGCAGGCAGTACCTGTCATTGTTACCAGTCTGTGGCCAGTTTTCTGCTCCTAGGACATTGGGTGGGAGACAGTGCAGGTAGATTTCCTCACACCTGGTAAAATAAGGTAAATAAAATGAGGCACTCAGCCGCATAAGAGGAGCCATGGTAGTGCTGGGAAAGTCAGGGTAGGGGTTATGATGGTGCTGGGAAGCCATAGCAAGAAACTGCTAGACAAAGTTACAAAAGCCCCTAAGAGGAAGAACTTAGGATCAGAGGTCGTTTGTGGGCAGCCAATTCTACTCTGAGCGGTGGGCCTGACACCTACATTTTTGCTGACACCCAGATATTTTGCTTCTGTATTCTGCTTTTGTATTCTCTTGGCTTGCAAAACATAGGAAATTTGGAATGATTCCATTTACATGACACCCCCTTCCTTCCCCCCATTTTGGGGTATAAAAAAATCCGGCTTGTGGCTATTTGGGGCAGCTCTGGGGTTCCTGATGCCTAGGAGTAGTCCCAGCCGGTTATAATTGGCTATTGCTAGATTTCTTTTTGCTGCTAATAAATGACCTCACAGTTAAGATTTGGTTTTTGAGTCGGTGGTCTGTTTCCTGGGGACTTTCAACTTGTTAGACTGAGAAGAAAGAGAGACTCCATTGAGTTTGCAACTGGAGACATTTGTAAGACATTCCTCAGAAGCAGCCTCTTTGATTCAATAAACAAATAAGACCTCGCGAGAGAGTCTTCGATGGGAGGGAAATGAGGATTACTTTTCCTCTCTAATTATCGATTCTGAACGCATTTTTTCCTGCTTTAAGGGACATTCCAAAATCACAGTAAATAAGGCAGCAGAGGGAAGACGCCACAGGAAGTTGATAGGGTCGGAATAGGGTAGGACCTGGGCGGGATGGCAGAACAGTCGGCTAAGGCTGTCCATCCACTAATATTTTCCTGGAACCGACTTCACCTAAGGACCCCCCAAGGGTTCATTCAATCGTCTCGCTGACCCTCGTAGGCTCGAACCCTGGGATTTACGGCTCGACATTCAAGGCCCGGAACCTTTTCCTTCCGGAACTACAGGCGGAAGTCCCTTTAGTTGCTACCCGAGGCGACTTTCCGGGAGCACTTCCGGCGAGGGAAACATGGCGGCGCCCATGCCAGACTCACGTGTGAGTGCGGGGAAGAAACTGAAACATACCCTGAAGAAGAAGAAGAAAATGAAAAAGGTAGCTCGCGCGGTAGTGTCGGAGCTGGAGGATGAAGCGGGAGCTGTTTCCGGGAGCGAAGGTAAGCCGTGGAGGCCGAGCTTTGACGGCTGAGGGGAGAGCCGGGCGGTGAGGCCTGTGCTGGAGCCGCGGGCCCGGACTGCGCGCCCGGCGTGGGAAGGGAGGGCCGCGCCGCCCTGGGAGAAGGCTTTGAAGGTGGTGTGGTGCGGGGAGTCGTCATTTTGCATTCTTAATGCTTTATTAGCTATTGCCAGGGACGTCTTTGTTAAGGTAAACGGGCGACACTTAACCTGTGCTACGGAGACAGTTACCAGCAAAGGATGAGGGGAAGGGAGATGGGATGTTTGAAATGGTAGGAGTGGATAGATAGCTCCCTGGGGGCGAGTAGCAGAAGGTTCCGAAGAGGCAAGCAAGGTATTTTTGACCAGTCCTGCTCATCAGGTGGATGGTGGCGTAGGGACCAGATAGATAGTCAGGAGGGGGAAAAAAAAAAGACTTAAGTGGTAAAAAAAAAAAAAGGGGGGGGGGAGGAGGGATAAATAAAAATAATCTGTGATAACATCCTATCAGAGACGCTTGGTAATGAAAGAAAGGTTACATTTTGAGGCCTTCAACACTGATAGGTTGGCTGCTGCTTCTCTTTGGGTTATCTGTATTCTTGGCACCTGTCTTTCAGGTTACAAGGAATTGCAGGCAACCTTTTATTTCCTACTGACCGGTTACTGTTCCTTGTTCCAGGAGATAGCTACACAATTGGAAGAGTTAATTGCTTTTCCTGATCATATATTTATTTGCTCAAGATAATCCAGTGGCTTCCTATCTCAGAATAAGGTTTCAAATCCTTAGCCTGCATGAAGATTTTATATTCTTGGTTTGATATTCTTGGTTTGACGCATTCAGAATGTTCCTGTGCTGAGGTTTCTGCTTATGACAGCTTCACTGGAATACTCTTAAGATGTCTTTCTCACAGTCTTGTCCATCTCTGATCCATTCTCACTTTTGTTTTTCACTTTTTAACCCCATTACTCCCCACTCTCACCCCTTCTCAAACTGTTGGACATGTATTGTATCCGTTTCATAGAAATGCAAGTTACTGTGTCTCCCATGCCTACTGCAGACTGGATTTCCCACAGGTATTTTAAATAAATCAATGAATGCAGGAGAAACTGTTGTGTGCAATTGGAGTTCTTAGGTAGAATTCTCTTCCTCTGCCAAAGGAGATTTGAAAAACGATTCATAGAGCAGGAATTAGATTATCTGATAAATAAGGTCCTGGGGATTGAACTCAGAGCCTGGGAGCTGTCACCGAGCTTTTTTTGCTGAAGGCTAGTGCTCTACCACTTGAACCACAGTTCTACGTCTGGCTATTTGCTGGTTAATTGGAGATAAAAGTCTCACAGATTTTCTGCCTGTTCTGGCTTCAAACCATGTTCCTCAGATCTCAGCCTTCTGAATAGCTTGGATTATAGATGTGAGCCACTGTGCCTAGCTTTCTGGTAATTTTTGAACTCAAGAAAATTGTTGTCCAGAACAGAAAGAAATGCTATTAGATTTGGAACAAAATATCAGTACTGCTTACAAATTTGGGTGGAAATTGGATTTATCTGTTCCAGTTCTCTGTAATTTGAAGTGGGAAAGTTCTTTTTCTGTTAATGCATTATTACAAATACTGATTAAGTTCTAAGGTTCTCTTAGGTCATTTACATCATGAGTTAAGGAAGTTTCTGAATAATGTGGAAACTTAATTATTCAGTTCAGTGAACAATTAAGATTGTTATGTTGCAGCAACTCTAGGTAATGACATGAAAGATTAAATTATTATTTCTATGAAAGTTAAATGCTTATGTTTTATGAATGTATGGGTTTTCACTATTTATGATAACGCTCTATACACATAACTGACACAGAATTAATGCTTTTAGAGCCAGGCACCAGTGGTTCATGCCTGTAATCCTAGCTACTCAGGAGGCTGAGATGTGAGGATCACGGTTCAAAGCCAGCCCAGGCAGGAACGTCTGTGAGATTATCTCCAGTTAACCACCAGAGAAGTGGTGCTGTGGCTGAAAGCGATAGAGCACTCTGAGCAGAAGAGCTCAGCGACAGAGAGAGCCCAGGCCCTGAGTTCAAGCCCCACAACTGATCAAAAAAGAAAGAAAAAAAAACAACACTTAATGCCTTGGGAGAAATGCAGGGATAGCCTCCATGAGGCCTTAGTCAGGATCTTTCTGTCCTTGAATCATCATTAGGTGTGTTGTGGTTACTAATATGTATTACCTTAACATTAAGCTTTCACGGCCAACTGCAGTATAACTTGTGTTTGAGTAAAGCTTGTCTAACAAAGAAAAAAGTTGTTTTTATTTTTGGCTTAGGGACACTAGACAGTACTTTCCTGTGTAGTACTCTTGCAAGCATTTTATATATTGCTTACTAAGAGTATGCACAAAACTATGAAAAATGTGCCTTGGGATAGATTCAGGACACCTGTTGACACTATGAAAGCTGAAACAAAAAGCCAGAATGTGACCTTTGCTGGGTATCTGGACACAGGGAGACTAAGAAGGGAAGGCTTCACCACTCCGGTAGCCTGTCTGTAGAGGATCGTGAAAGCACAAGTGTTTTGTTTTTTTTTTCCCAAATAAATATTGCCATGTCAGTAATTTCACAAATACAGAAGCCACAAATAACAGATGGGCTGAATATCTTTATGACTGACCAGTGTGCATGTCCAGTTTGTATGATCTGACCAGGGGCTTCCTGCTCACCTGGCATCCCTAGGCTTCTTGCTTGGGGCTCACTTCATTCTTAGGTGGCTTGTGCCATAGTACTCTGAGCTCCTAGTTCCTTGGACTCTGTGCTATCTCCTATATCCTGTACCTGCTTATGCTGTGCTAGTAGCATGCTCTTTCAGCATCACTGTCTCTTAACGATTGCTTCTGTGTCATTTAGGTTTCAATGTAGTTGTTTTCACCCAGCTTCTCCATCTGGAAGAGGGCCTTGTGGTCGGCCAAGGGGTAATTGGACCCCTGGAGTCCTGGTATTCCAGGTGATCTCAGGAATAGAGGACCCCTAGAGGTGATCCAAGAGGAGATTGTCCTGGCAAGGAAGGTGCTTGTATCTGAGGAGGAGCACAGGGGGAGGAAGAGGGAGGAATAGGAAGAGGATCCTGGGGCTGTGAAAAAGCAGAGGATGGGTCATTAGAATGAGAATCCTCTTTATGCTGCTTTTGTGACTTTTTCTGCTTCAGAATGAAGTTTATTATCCTCTGAAAATTCTACTTTCCATCCCTCAGGGATACCTCGTCTGGCCATTCAGTGCATCATGGCCACTTTAGGTTTTCTTTTTCTTCCTTGGCTTTCCAAGGATATTTGCAAATTAAACAAATTAATTTTTTTCTCTTCAGTGGTGTGTCCTTCACTATCATCTTCATGCACAAATTCATCCCCTCACTGCCCTGTCTGATGAGTCAGTGCCACTTTCATCCGTGCTAGTGTCATGATTATCTTGATCCATCATCTTAACCTAGTGCAATAAACAGTTGAATCCGAAAGTACTGAAAGACAGTATAAAAAGCTACAAGAAATTTTTGAACATACTCTACATCTTAATGAAAAGGAGAATCCAAAGCAAAATGAACTCCGAGACATGGACACAAGAGGTTTTTTTCTTTGCTATTGTTCTTAATGGACTGTGTGATTTCTTTTTTCTTTTGTGATTTTTTTCCTCCTATGGTTTATTCCCTGTTGTCACTATATTCGATTTTGGTACCACGGGTATTGATTTTGGTACCATGGGTATTGTATATAACTATCATCTTTACTGGTGCTGGAAACATCATTTTGACCCTGCTAGACCAAGTTCAGGACTTGACAACATGTCCTCATCTTTAAAACAAAAAACTTGCGTTGTGGCCATACATCTGCAAGATTTAGGGAGGGGGTGGACCATGTAGAGGACTAGGGATTTTTCTGTATGGTGGCAAATGTAGAACACCATGTCCAAGAAGAGGAAAGATAGAAACTAGTCCATTTGGAGTAATGCAGGCTGAGGTTTTCTCAAGGATAGAGAATGGCTTGACATCAGGATGTGGATGGAATGTCCTGCGTCAAGGTCCAGCATGCGGCATGTACTTCCACAAACGAAGAGTTTTTGACAGCATCAAAATCGTGGCTAAGTTAGCCTTTTTCTTCTCATATTCTACTTCTGGATTTCTCAGTTTCTTTGTAAATATCTGGATTCTCCTTTTTAAAAGTTAATTTTATTGTCAAGGTGATGTACAGAGGGGTTACAGTTACGTAAGTAAGATAGTACATTTCTTGTCTTGTTCCCCCCCCCCTCATACTTCTCCCCCTTTCTCTTCCTTTTACCCCCCTACCCACAAGTTGTACAGATCATTTCCAACACAGTCTTGTGAGAATCACTGTTGCATAGGTTCCCTCTTTGTCGGTTGTCTCACCATTTTGCTGTTCCCTTTCCCATCCCTAATTCAGATAAACGTACGTAAAATACCCGTGGTACCAACATCGAATTTAGTGACAACAGGGAATAAACCATAGGGGGAAAAATCACAAAAGAAAAAAGAAATCACACAGTCCATTAAGAACAACAGCAAAGAAAAACCTCTTGTGTCCACGCCTTGGAGTTCACTTTGCTTTGGATTCTCCTTTTCATTAAGATGTAGAACATGTTCAAAAATTTCTTGTAGCTTTCTAAACTGTCTTTCAGTACTTTTAGATTCAACTGTTTATTACACTAGGTTAAACTCCACTTTATCCAACTTCTCCACGTCTGGATAATCTGTTTGGGATCTTTTATCTTTAAAACCATAGCATGTAGCATCTTGTGTTAGTTTTTTGACCTTTAATTCTCTTATCTGGGCTTCTTTTTAGATTTGATATGTGAGGTTCATGAATTTCTACCTCTGGTGGATGATGTTTCATGTTGACAGTCTGTGTAGTTCATTTATTCATTGAAAGAGATAATGAGAAAACAAAACACCATCATAGGCTCCCAGGACTTGGAGAAGAGGAGAGAGGGTGAATCTCAGCCTCTTTTACTTTGTTG